CACACAGACGCTCCCTGTGTCCCCTTCCCGAGTCTGTTAAACACTTTCAGATTGGGTGCTTACTCCAGTTGAATATTGCCAATGGCCAGGGCTCAACACATCATCTTGGATTTGAGTATTTCTGATCTGAAATATTTCTCCACTGTGCTGTTTGTTTCTATGGCTGTGCCCACAGTGCACTGCCTTGCCCTCTCAGTTTTACTGACATAACTATGTTTGGAGCTGTACTGTGACCTGTATCAGAGAAGCCATCCTGCTTTAAAAAAAAAAAAGTGCAGGAAAAGAGAAGTAATTTTGTTGTTGTTGCTTGAAATGCCAAGTCACTTTCCTGGTCCAGCTCTCAGTAGTGGCCTTTGTGCAGGTGTGTGGCTATGACATGGGCAGAGGAAGGAGCAGAAGCTGGGCAAGAATATAGAAAACCTGCGTTGCAGCTGACACGAGAGCCTCTCTAAACTGCTGTTGGGGGGCTGTGTGGAAGAATCTTTGTTAGAAGAACATGTCTGAATTTGGTCTTGTAGCTACTTCTAAGTACATAAACTCAGGTGTCTCTGTGTTTTGTACAGGAGCTTATGGCGTAATGATAATACTTCTCAGAACAGGAGTAAGTATAACGAACGGCTCTGAACCGTGTGGTCTTGATTTCAACTCCGCTAAACAGGGTACAAGTTAGTAGAGGCTTTGGTGCAGAAGGCTTAAATTTAACCATCTTTCTACTCCTCACAGCCAGTTGGGTCCACTACATTGTGGCATGTATTCTGTAAGACTGTGCTTAAACCAGTGTTCAAATCCTGGTTGTATCTATGTGCGCACACAACAAACACCATCTCACATGTGCTGTGCTCCAACATATGTTTTCCAAACTGCACTCTATGCTTCATGGTGTTTGAGCTGGACTTTATCTCCTTATTAGCAAGCTGCAGCCGAGGTGTGGTGGCTAACAATAGAAGGTTGATCTAAACGTTAACAAATTAACTGGGGCAGGATGTATGCTGGGCAAGGGCAGCAGCGTGAACTGTTGCTCAACTACAGCACATGACCCTCCTTCTCAACCTCTGCATGATTCTGAGCCTAACCCGTGAACTGTGAAGCAGCTGCTTGCCAGTGCCTCCACAGAGGGGAGGGTGAAAGAAACGTGATCAAGCAAAGGGTACCTCCAAAAGCTTTGAGGAACACCAATGTGTGTAATACCTGTGCAAAGAACAGAGGGAAGCTGAAGGGCTTGCCAAAGGAAGAGCTCCGTGAGCTGTGTGCGGCTTCCTTCGCCTACTGCAGAGGGGTGAAGAGCCGAGTCAGCTTTGCTGACAACTGAACTTGTGATCCTGCACATTTTAAGCTGGGCCACTGCTCTACAAGCTTGTCTTGATGCAGAAAAGCAGATGCCGAAATACGCTTCCCATCAGAGTGCACTGTCCTCTTGGTACATACAAGGCAGTCTGTCAGTCATTAGTCCGGTGTATGTTTCTGGTCTTTACACTACTTCGGAGCTTACACTAGAAACGCTTTGGGACAATTCTTTCCTTTCTGTCCTACCTCCTTTTTTAAACTAATTCTGTTTAGCTTGGGAAACTGCTCCTTCTACAACCATCTCGCCTTGAAAACACACCATGGATCAAATAGAATTGCTAAACTCTCACAAAGTGGGCATTTCGCATACTCACGTGGCAGCTCCCCGTGCATAGTGTGCGGTCTGGTATCAAAGTGGAAAACCCCCAAGCTGGAACTGTTAACTAATTCCCTTGGATGAGAACATGGGAGATGAGGCTTTTTCTGTTTCCCGAGCACTGAGTGGGATAGGTGGGGAAAGGGCTGTATGGAAAAATTTCCCCTCTTGGGCAGTGGATGGAATACCCCGAGGTTTCCCCTGTGCCTTGCCTGTCTCTGTTGGCAGGGGGGAGGGCAGCCACAGCTTTGCTCTTTGCCTGTGTTATATCCTACAGGAATGCAAGCGAGAGAAGTGCAGAAGACTGAAATCTCCTTGCTGTTCCTTGTTGCCTTTAAACACCACTCAGCTGCACAGAAATTTCCTGTGGAAGCTGGAAGTGGTTTACGCTGCTATAAAAGGTTTTTGTTTGGTTTTTTCTTGAGGAAGTTTTGAACCGAAGAGACAGATTAGGTGGAGTGGATGGAAAGAATAAGTTTATGCAAAATATCAGTAGATGTTAAGGCATTTCTGTTGCTTGCATCTAGGCTAGAAAGAAACATGAATCATAGTAATCCCTTTAGGATATAGATATACACAACCTGTTACGTCCATTTTGAAGTTTTCAGTTGTGCTGCCCTCTTATTGTACCTATTAACTGCTTGTATTTTTAATTCGTTAAATCAGCTAATAAATTAATTATCTGCACCAGAAATTACTCACTTTTTGCCACTTTTTCTCTCAGGAAGGCTGCACTGAGTCCTTTGGAGACTTGACTCCCTCTATCTCCTTTCAGGTCTCTTTCCACATTCCTCGTCTCACCTTGGAGCACCTTATGTGATGATGATGATCCCTTAGCTGAGGCAAGTTGGACTCTGCTCCCTATGGTGCCAGCAGAAGAGCTCACTGCCCGGCCGCGAGTTGCTCCTTCAGCCCTGGTGGTGAGCAAACCTCGTAGAGCTGCCAGCTCCAGCGTGAGGGAGCAGATCTGGCTCATTGGTGTTGCTGCTGGTCACATCTGGTGGAGTTGTTCAAACAAAATTCTATATGAGTGTGAATATATTCCCAGCTTTAAAAAAAAAGAAGAGACTGAGCCTGTATTCTAGAGAGGTAAATATTTCACGTTCATGGCCTATGTGTTACTGGCCCCACTGTTATTATTCAAGTTCCCTCAAAATCTTGAGATTAATGTAAAAAATAAGAATTTTTAAAAATCTATCTGTACATTTTTTGTTATTATGTTGTTTTCTAAACCCCCTTTTGAAGGGAGGTTGTGAGTATTAGCACTGTGCTGTCTCCCAAATAAATGGAGAGTTCCTTACTGTGTTAAGAAAATCCCATATCTACATCTGTCTGCCTGTCCTCTGAGGCCCCTTTCCATCACTTTTATTCCCATTTCCTAAATTAGCAGTATCCCCATTTACTTTTTAATCTCCAGGCCTGCAAATGCAGGCATAGCAGGCTTCTCAATGTCCTCAGCCTCACAAGACAGCTGCAGAGTACCTCATGCCTTTACCATTTTCTCAGGCTGAGTGCTGAGAACAATGGGTTTGGGTAAAATTTTTCATTAAAAATTGCTTTTTTGAAAAGCGTTGTAAAATGTCAACCCAAAATGAGGTGTTAGGGAGGTAACTTCGCAAAACAAGGCTGATAGTTGTATTTTAGTTTTGTTGTGCTGGTGGGTGTAACAATTGCTATCATAAAGCTGTCATGGGTACAAATTCACCAGATCCTTTGTGTGTGATTTAAGCATGCATAATTTTAGGTAAATGTTTCAATATTTTGCTACCTGAGGGATATAATAAATAAAGTAATTCAGAAGGACTATGAAGGCCAGGGAAGAGACTCCTGTTACTATTGAATGGATGTTGAATCAAGCCTCTGCTTCATCAGGGAAGGTTTATCTGAAGAAAGTTGGCTTCTTACTCTGGCTTTAGAAGTATTGCAGTGTTACAGATCAATGGAGTGTATGTGTGCTTTTCTAAAATATGTGTATTAATCTGGTTTAAAGTTGGTCATGTTACTTTTCTTCATGTGAAGAATTAAATTGCTTTTGGCTGACTTATCTACCTGAGGAGGGTGATCACATTGTAGACCCTTTCTTTTGGATACCCAGGTACAGTATCTGGAAAATCTGAGAACGCGTTGACTACGTTTTTTGTTGTTACACAGTTACAGGACATTAAATAAATCCTCGGAAATGGGTCTACAAAAGATGTAAGTTCAATTTTATTATTTTGTATCAAGTGATTGTTAAGGATCATACTGTTGCTATATTTAGATGTCTCCAGTGTAAATATTTGACTGATACTAACAATTCAGGCTGTAAGTGACCCTAGTACAAAGTTTAGTATAAGAAGCATTTTTCATTATCATAAATTTTTTTTTTGTGTTATTGTCAGTAATATTCTAATTTTCCAATATCTATTTCTATTTAATTAAAATAAGAGTGTGTTTTTATATGTTAATTTAAAAAATCATTTAACATATAATCGTGACAGTAGCTTTACAAAGTCTCTTATGATAATTCTTTCTAAGAATTTTTGTTTGTTATATGGTATTTTCCAATTTATTTTTTTCCAGCCACCAAAACCTGTGTACCAGTAGGTTTCATTCTCACAAGCTTGTCCTCTTCCATTCTGGTTGCCATGCGTTGGTCCAGGTACAATGCAAGTGGAGATTTTGCCACAAGCGAATGTAGGGCCTTTTCCAAATGTGCTAGTGGGTTTTGTTGATCAAAATACCATCTTGATAACAGCCCTTCTAGAATGTTTGATAACAGGAATTAATTCTTGGAAGAGACTTTTTAAGGTAGGAAATAGAGTCAGAAGCACAGTTCAAATTGGAAAATGGAGAACAAAACCTCAGACTTTGTTAACAAAGCTAATGCTGGTATCTATAAGGTATATGCAGTTGTAAAAAAAAAAAAAAGATTGGCTGGCTTGCAGTAGAATTTGCACTCCTGAAGCTGTGAGCTTTCTTTGAAAATCCGCTCTCCCCCCCTGCCCCCCGGCTTGGTTATCTTTCTCAACAATCTGGTGGTTTAAAGCAAGACCTGTGCTCATATGGAAATATGCGTGCCTGTAAGTAAATGCACTGTAACTTTATGGCTTCCATAATGTGGAGAAATGAACCTGGAAGAAAACCACTTTGAAAAAGAATCATGGTAGAAACAAATTTATTAGACACACTTGCAACGTGATAACACATGTCAATGCAGCCCTTTGGAGTTCTTTCGACAGTGTTTTAGATAACTTTGTTTTGCTTCTCACAGACATCTAAACTTGGAAGTCTAGAATTTCTGTGCAGCTGGAATCAGATAAATACTGGAACCACTGCAGATTCAATTGCATCCTCCAACATGACCAGTCCTCAGTAAGTACCACGTGAGGGTAGTTGTAACTCATTCTAAATAAAAGGGAACAAGTTCCTACCTGTAGGAGAATGATGTTGTAATGTCGAGAGGTTTCCATCAGTGTTACTGGAAGGGAAAGCTGTTATTTTGTGAAGGAGTAGCAGGATTTGGCGAGTTGTCTGAAGAGTGTGAATTAGCAGAAAAACATGAATGCGGTAAGCGTGTCTGATGTTACTAACAGCCAGTGGCTGAAAACCGGTATGTCATATTATTTTCAGATCCATTTGCCTTTTTCCTTTCCTGCCACCAGCCCAGTCCCAAAACTGTTTGCCAGCACTAGTCTGTTGGTCTGTTTGCTTCTCTTTTCAGTTAAATCAGACAGTGTCTGTCACTTAGTCTGTCTAAGCATACAGAAGGTAAATGCTGTTGGGAGAGGCAAGGCTGCACCAACCCATTTCCTTTATGATACTGGAATTTGGATCATTGTATGCTCTTTCATGCAAAACTGAACCAGCTTGGACTTGTAAAGGTAAATGTCCACAGGATGGCACTGAAAGTGAAAAACCGAAGAAAGAAAAGTCTTGCTAAAATTAGCTTCTCCCTCTGGGCTTCTGATTTTAGATTGTTTACAGCAGAATACGGTTCTATTGGGAATGAAAGAATCTCATTGCTGTCCATTATGAGTTAGACAAAGAACGAAATAAAATAAGCCTTTAGGTTGTTCAAATAGCGATTCCTTTTACCTCTACTTTCATGCCACAGTTGCAGCCTTTCCCTGCCAAATACTGGGGATATAACAGCATTTTCTGATTTTTAAAATTGCTTTCTTGTGTAATGCTGGCAGCGGTGAGCTTCTTTTAATTTAGGAATACTGTTTTCCATCCGAAAGGGTTAGTCTAATGGTGAGGCTCTGACCAATAGAATTATTCTCTATCTCTTTCACATAGAATTTTAATTCCTTCACCCACATCCTTAGACTTACAAGATATGAGAGTTAAGAACACTTCTAAATTATTCACTTTTTTTCTGGAAAAACTGTTATTCTGAAAGAACTATTATTCCAGTTGCTTGAATAGCTGGAAGATTTTAATAAGCTTCTTCAAAACAAAATCACCAGTGCAACCTTTGCAGTCAAACAGCAGAAGGAAATCGGGTGCTAAGCACTTTTTAACTGTATCCCTGAGGAAAAAGTGTATCTTCACACCTGCTCTTGAAAACCTCTGACAAGTGGTCTGGACGAAAGCTAGGGAAGTTTATGCTTGCACCTACTCTGAATCAAAAGGAGCAAACAGCTTTCACTGGGTACTGCAAAGGATCAATCCCTGCGGGTGCTTGACATGCAAGCTCTCTCCTACAATGAAGTTGTCTTTCTCATGCACTAGATAATATGTTAGCTGACAAAGTCTGAGTTTCTAGGTAAGTATCGTGTTATAAATGCAGAAGGCCTACATAGTCAGACTTTGGTTTTACCTGCGTGGCGTTCCCATTAATGTTAGTGGGTCGTAGAAGAATGCGTGTTCAGATTTAGAAGCTGTCCATAAGGATAGTTAAGACAATCTATATAGAGAAGTACGTAATTCTTCTGAATCCTTGTTCTCCTTTCAGAATAATTTTGAAATAACTTGTGGCAGAATGATCCTTTCTAGTTGAAAGAAACAAAGTCACCATCCATCAAAACTATTTGAATGTTGACCCACAGTGGAAGAGGGGTCAAATTGCATCCATTAATTAACAGTTAATTTGTATATAATGGTTAATAAGCTTAGCTAGTCATTGCTCACTGATCTAACTTACAAAGCATTGAGTTTTTTGTTGGCATAGTTACATGCTTTCTTTCTCTTTCGCACAAATATTTTGCTTTTGGATTCATGCATTGTTTCTGTGTTTGTTTGTTTATAACACATCCATTTATATTGAGCGCTTCTGAAGCAGATTCAGCAGAGTGAAATGCTGTTCTCTTTTGTCTGTGAGGTTTCTGTTGAGCTTGGTGACCTCAATGAAAGACAAGTTTGGAGACATTTGGTCTGTCCCCTCAGTGAAGACACCTCCCTCAATGACCGTGCAAAGGCCTTTTGAGTTGCTGTCTTTTTAGGATTCTGTGAAGTTCTTGTCTCTAAACTTATTTTTACTTGCTTGCTTATTTATTTATATTTGTTCATATGTGTGTAGAGAGAGAGGGTTTTTTATTTTGCTTGGTATGTTTTCAGGCCTACAGTAGAAGGCGGTGTTTCAGAAGTTGAGATAATTTCACAGCAAGTTGAAGAAGAGACCAAAAGCATTGCTCCTGTACAGCTTGTTAATTTTGCTTATCGAGATCTACCTTTACCTGCACTTGATCCATCTGTGGCTGGGTCCCAGCTTTTGTCAAATTTGGACGAGGAGTACCAAAGAGAAGGGTAAGTACAAAGGACAGAGTTTTGTTTTATATTTTCAGGTTATGGGAATTTTGTGGCCTGTAAAAAAGAAAACCTTGAGCTCAAGAAATGCAGCCAGTGGTCCTCAAACTCTTTTTAAAACAATTGTCACAGGATGGAAGTGACTTTTTCTAATATTACTAACCTGTGCTGGTTTGGGACTCTTAATAATTTTAAGTGATTCATAGCTCCTGCTGGAGCACAGTCTGGAAGCCTTCTGTTGGTGAAAACTAGACCAAGCATCTAGCCCGTCAGAGAAGCAGAATGGCCTGGTGCAAGCTCTTTGTTTCAGCAGGGTTTCAGGATAACAGGGGCTTGGCCACTGTGATTCTTGTACATAGTTGTATGTCTCTGGACTGAGAGATAATGACTTAGTACTGCTGATTCCTGCGCAGGTTGTGTACTTCTCACAGAATAATTTGAATTGAGTAGTCTGCTTATGTGAGAACGTTGTCTTTGATAAGGTATATGCGTATTACTTGGGTTTTTGCGGAACGTTTCGGTTTTATTGGAATAACAGATCTTAATCAGTTTATGACATTTGCCCAAACGTAACCCAGTGCCAGATTATGTAGCATTGTTGTGCTACAGGATATTTGAAGTCACCCTTATGCCTGGTTCAGGCTTGAAGTGGCTGTAGGTGGACTGCTATACTAAATTTTTAAGGAAAGATTTGGGTCAACCGGAGAAAATCCAGAGGGAAGGCAGTGAGAATGATGAGAGGCTCAGAAAACCTGCCATGGAGTACTGATTGAAATAACTGTTTGTGTCTCATGTGAAGAACAGACTTTGAAGGGAGCATAGAAGAGGCTTCACTGAGGAAGAGAACAGTGTGTTATCGATCTCCATGATGTTTAGGACAAGAAATAAAAAGCTTGAATTGCAGCAAAGAAGAGAGTAATGAGGGTAGTGAAGTGCTGCGGTCAACTGATGGTGTGTATGGGGCAGAGGGGAATAGAGCTGCAATTGCTAGATGTCTTTAAGACACATTTGTCAAGAATGATAACACTATAAAACATCCCTTGGGACAGATTAGATGAGCACTGGTGCCTAGCCCCTCTGATTCTGTGATTACTGTTCCACGGTGTGTTGCACTGAATGTATATATGCTCCACTGTCAATAAGACCTGTCTGAAAGCACTTCACAATAAGTCATATAGAGCTCTCATTGATGAAGACATTAAAAGGCTTTATATAAGCCTTCATTTATTAATAGCTGAATGTGTTTTAACCTGTGCTCAGGAATCCGCAGAGACACCTGCTCGATCTCTGCTCAGCAGGTATTCTGTGTGGTAGTCAGGAAGCAATATGTGGGGAAGGCTCTTGCCTTTAATTTCTTTCCAAATTGGACTTTATGAGACATCTCCAGAAAGTTGTTACTCCAAACAAGGGGAAATACATTTCAAGTAGGTTATATAAGTATGGTACAACTGTAACATAAAATACCCTGCATAGCATAAGAGGCACTTGAAAATTAATTTGAGTATGCAGGTGTAACCCTCAGGCTATTTTGGTGCTGAGTAAATACCAGTTCAAATATGCATTTTTATATATTTTTATGATCTGAAACTCAATTCTTGACTGTGCCAAAGTAACCATTTGAGCAGCTTTGCAGTCTTAAGCGTGGAAATAGACTTTCATTCTTTTCCTTAGCAGAGATCTCTTCCTTCACACAGGCTTCTTTTGTGGCTTTGTCAGTCCAAATGGAAATAAGCAGGTGCTATCCAGAGCTTTAGTTTGTATGTCTCGGTGCGTTTTGGCTGCGTGTGTTTAGCTGAGTCCCAGGACTGCATCTGCCTTGGGGGAATGGCGGCCTCTTGCTTTCAGAAGCACTGGTCATAACTGATGTCCTGCAAAATTTAGGAGCAAAGCTGAGCTCAAGAAGTTCAGCAACAAAAGTAAAATACTGTCCCCATACCACCTCGTGGCTTGGTTGGGAATACGTCTCGTTTTATGTGTGTAATTTAATTTCTTTCTCATGGCCTTGTTAGATGTGACTGGCTTCCACCTGAGTGAGAAGGAGATAGGGTGGATCAGAGCAGTTTAGCACAGGAAATGACAGCCATGTCTCCCTCATATATGAAGAGAGTGATGTGGGAAGGGCAGCACAGGAGGTGGCAGAAGATGTCTAAGTCCCTGTAGTTTCTGCCAGCATTCATATTTGTAACTGTGAAGCGCTGTTAGCCTGATGCTTCCATACGGGTTGCAGGTGGAGATACCAGAAGATACTGCTAATGCCAGAGAGCACTACAAGGTGAGGTAGGACTCATTGTCCTCTCCGTGGCAGTCCGCCTTTATCACAGACTCCAAGTGTTACCTCCTGTATACTTTTCCCTGAGAATTTCAGGGAAGGTGCTGACCTGTATGACCCGCATATATTCTGTATGGCTCTGTAGTTCTAGACCTGTAGCTGATCTAGGCAAATTGTAGTTGTTCTAACTGCAGGGCTCTGCAGCAGGAAGGTCTGGCACGTCCCTGTGCTTGGAAAATGCTGGGTTGTCTTTGCAAGCTGCATCTGTCCATGACCTTGTGGTTTTCAACTTGGCTGTCCACAATCCCTAGTTCCCGTTGTGAGCTGTCACACTTCATCACTATTAAGCCTTCATCTCCATGCAGAGAGCAACAAGCGAAACATCACACTAGAGATGAATGAACGGGCAATAAAGGAGTCATCGGATTTAATGGTTTGGTTGTGTGCACCCCAAGGCTTGCCTCTAACTTCTTTAAGGCCAGAAAGTGTTCAGGGTCTGAGCACCAAGTGCAAGTTTAATGTGGTTGCTAACTAGGGGAGCTTTTTGTTTCATCTGAGAGAATGTTTCTCTCAATAAAACTGATATTAATAGGCGACCAGGAATAGGTGAGTCATAGCTCAGCCCTCTTTGTGTGCCTGGAAACTCTGCAGTGGCATCAGACTAGCTAGCCCTCCCATGAGAAATGAAAAAAAAAAAAAAGGAAAGGCAAAAAGAAAGGAAAATGATGGCCTGTCTTTTGTTAGACATTCCCATGACTTTAAAGATACTGGAATAAATATATTATTTTGTGCAGTTTGATGGGTCTTTGCTCTATCATATCAAATGCTCAGGGCAGTCAGTTCCCATCTGTCAGTGTTGTTGAAGGAATTTCATGGACAGTTTGAGTTGGTTTTGTCAGAAATTTAGTTTACGATGCTGATCCCTGGACTGAGCAACAAAGAAGGGACCCCAGATTAGACAGCGCGTTAAGCCTGTCCCTGAAATACACCTGTAAGTGGTAAAAGGGTGATCAGGTAAGAAAAACCTTTCTGCTCTCCCAGAAACCCTCAAACAAAACAGGAAATGTGTTGTCCTCTAATATGGGTTGAGCAAAAATTCTTTTCCCTCTGTAGACTTCTCAAACAGGGAAAGTACAAATATTTACATGATGGAAGTTGGTTAATTGGGATGGAATCTGCATTGAAAATACTCACTATACATCGTGTGGGTGGGCTGGCGTTGCCTTCTTCGCACTGAAGGGGACTAAGGTGCCTGTGGGTTCCGCGTGTGGGATTCCTGCATCTGGCTTGCTTCCCAGCTGCAGTGAGGCCGATGTGCCTGGTGTTAACAGGGCTGCGGGTTTTACTCTTCAGAAAAAGGAAATTTTCTGATAAATGTCAACAATATTTAACCAAAACATTTGGAGTTTTATGTGACTACAGCAATCTCTGTTTACAACGGTGTATCTCTTCCACCATGTGGAGCACTGTGAAGAATAGTAGCTTGGGTCTCACAGAACCAGTATCTCTTCCACCATGTGGAGCACTGTGAAGAATAGTAGCTTGGGTCTCAGAACCAATATGAGTATGAAGTTCATTACTTATTAGTCCCGCTGATCTGCCGTGCAGTTAACTTGTTAGAATCGTCCTTGGATGTCTCTGTTCTGCACTGTGCTCCGTGCTTAGACATCGCAGAAATGATTGAGGCATCGGCTGGAGGCATGTATATGAGAAATAAACTCATGCAGAAAATGAGTCTTGGATGCCAAGGAGAACACGTGGTGTACATTTCTAACGTATCTGTGACAGATTAGGTGATACTCGTGCACAAAAAGCAGAGCCAAGCCGCTGATTTTCTTCGTGTCTGTGAATTTATTGGAGAGGCTGTGTCTGCACGGAACTCAGTTTGCATGTAAAGAATATGTAGATGTTTCTTTAGGGAGACTAATCACCCAGAAAGCTAAGGAGATTTTTAAATGTTAACATTAGCTTTTAAGTGCCACTTTTAATTTCTTTTTTTTTTCCAATCAAGTATTCTGTTTCAAAAAAATACTTCCTCTATTCTGTTTTTGCATCAAAGATCATAAAAATGGTGGGGAATAGTTGGAAAATTGACAACATGCAGAAAGTGGTACATGTGCACTAAAGACAAGTGGGGATACGGAAAAGCTCTCCTTCCTGTGTTTTCCTTAAGTTCCAGTTAGGAGGTGTTATTCGTCATAAATTATACAAAAATTTACAGACAGTTGCACAACGGGCTGTATTTTTGTTGTGAATATGTAGTTAGGCAGTGAGCCTGTCTCTCAATAGAGATCTGTGTTTACTGGGGGTGGGAAGCAAGGGGAGAGAGATACACCAGCTTTGAATTATTTGTTGTATTTGTTTTAGATTGCAGCTCTTGAATTTTTATGTATTAAACAAATTTGAAACATGAAGGTGCTTTCAAACACTGTGTTTTACATCAGCAACTGTAAAGGTTGGGAGTTCATATGGTTAATGTGACTCACTTGACATTAGCTGTAAATAGTCATGCCATTGTAATTTAATCATTTATGATCATCTGTTCAAAGCCTGAGATTTCTTTGGTCGCAGCCAGAAAGTGCATTAAACAGTAGGAATATCTGAAAAAAGAAAGCTGTAGGAAGGGATAGAGAGAGAGATAAAAAGGAAGGAAAACTAAAACTGAATAGAGATTTACAGAGATTCAGACGTTAACACAGAAAAGAGTCGTGAGCTTTTCATTTGAAATTGG